CTATAATTAGTCAAAGCGGTTGGCTACTCTGATCAGTGAGAATGGATCCCTTTACCTCAATCAAAGCACAAACTTTAAGATTTTTTTGTTCAATATGTGCAACTGCATATTAGTGTTTCTAAACATTCAACAGACAGCATGCACTATCATTTTAAACGTCATGTCTCAAGTGTAAACCATTAATATTCACGCAGACGACCTATCGTAATAGCAACTAATTAGCTCCGAATTAGACGTTTTCTCTACCCCCCATCTTCAAGGCGGTGCACAAATGAAATAACCAATTACATTTCCATTTTAAATGGCCATTTTAATCAATAAATGCACATTGATATTGCCATTTAAGTGTTAGAAGTGCAGAGAGGCAGAAAGCAATAGGCTCAATGACTTAAGGTAGAACTTCGCTAGAGTCTTGTTTCTTGGTCACCAAAATCCATTAGAGGAAGTAAGCTCGGGTGAAGTAACCGAATCTCAGAACCGCTCTTATAAACAATCCTCATTCCGACGTCCCTCAAGTTGACCTTCGGATACGCACCAATTAGCATCAACCCTTGACTTCGAGGGGAGGATCAGACAAAATATTTTTCGAGTTCCTTACATGTTCGTGCCTGTGAGTGTGGACAATTTCAGAGTTTCTAAATGTACATCGGACCCCTTCATATTCACAAAAAGTTCATAAACCCTATTGCTAGAGGAGGCATACTTAAGTGTCCTTAATGCCCACAGCAGAAATTACGAAGTTCTGTGAGTGATTTTAATGTCCACAGACACTTGTTCGGCTTTTAAATACCATTTTATCCCATGAAAAACCTGAAGAGAAACTTTCGTTCGAGTCGCAGGTCACGTTTTCTTCCTATTTGGGTCAGAAAGACTGCAGTAATATCTCCTCGGGGGATACAGTACGCTATTTGATGAGTTAAGCACCCGGAGCGGAAAGGAATAGTGTGAAAGCATTCTACAGCCTGAGCATTTGAACGACTGTTGGGCAGAAATATCTGAATTAGAAAGGGCAATTTTGTCAAATATTACCTCAATTGATATGCCGTTAATTAGGCGAATTTAACGAAACATTAATGCACACACACACACACACTCACGCAAGCAAAAAACATAAATACCACTAATAGGCAAGTATACATAGACTACCTAAGTGACAATCAGTAGACTATACTAGGAGTAGCAACAGTCAATCTCACCTTGTTATACGGGTAGCACTCTCGTACCTAACACACGCAAGTACAATAGAGCATTTCATTAACGAAATCAATTATTTTCAAGGCGGGGGAGGGGGGGGGAGGGAATTATCAATATCAAAGACCCACCTGAGAGTTCGGGTGCGGTAGTCAAGAGACATGGGGTTCATTGAGCTGTTCCCAGTACTGGGTAGCGTAGAGGCGCCCGTTTTGGCTCTTATCATAGTGGGATAAGGACCATCGGGATCGAGTTGGAAGGAATCCACCGTCTCGGACATACTCGTCTCAGTAATATTAGCCTGCACACAGGCGTCTATTTGACCTTGCATCTGGCTGCCAGGAGTTGGAAGCAAAGGAATGGACTTGTCTGGTGAAGGTGCGTAAGAAGTAGAGGCAGGAATAGGGAAGGAGGCGAAAGGAAAAGGAAGATCGGTTAATATTTCCTCAGAAAAATTATCACCTCCTCCCGATGCCACTTCTCGACTCCCTATTAATGAGGATTCTGCAAGAATTCGCAAATAAATGAGTGCAATGAGTAGAGTGGCGACTACGCACAACTAACCATTCCCCAGCACTAGACAGGCAGAACGGCTAAGTGATCAAGAAGCCTCACGTGTGGGCGGGCCCGGAAATGAAAGAAAACTACTAGCCAATCAAAGCAAAGGAAATAGGTCAAACTCGGAACAAGCAAACTCTACCCTCCTACAGGGAAAAAAGGGACCCAGTTAACTAAAGAAGGGGATAATGAAAATCACATGCAATTGAAAAGAAAGGGGATCTATTTTGAAGTGGAAAGGATAATTTACTCAAAATTAGATCTCGGAATAATTAAATGGCGATCTTGAAGGGTAACCTTTCCCTGTTTTTTATGCAACACCAACTGGGGTGTGCGATAGACTTACCTCCATGTGGTTCACCCTGGGCAACGTATACTCATGCGGCAAAAAAAGTCTATTAATTGGCAGTTGACTACTCACTTCAAACATCCATCACCCCCACTGTATGTCATATTCGACCCCTACCACTACTCATCTTACCCTTTCTGAGCCTTTGTGTCTGTTTCTTTACATCTTTGAAACACCCTTCTATTACTCCTCCTGAATTCTTCTCACTTTGATGTTCCTCCTCCCCTCTGTGAAGCCCGAAGTCAACTAAAGGGCTAATGATAACAATCAAAACGCCTGCCATTTGTTATAAATAAA